ACATAACCGTAAGATTGATTGCACAGCCTTTATGATCTTCACTTGAATTATGATGATACCTTTGTGAACTGCTTGCAAGCGTGTTAAGTCCTTTAAACAACGTATATACCCCGAAAAAAAAAAGTCAGTTTTTAAATGGAAGCCGGTACGTGTAGACATACGGGAATGGAACGGCAAAAGGCTTTCGGAGAATGGTAGGTACATATTCGGGTACACAAGAACCTCCATTGTGTGTTCCTTCTAGACAGAAAAGCGTATCAACATTCTGATCAAAAGAAGATTGTCTATTTTTGAAAACCTCTAAAAACAGCTCACCAAAGGTAAAAGATGATCATGAAAAGATGAAGATTCCTTAATTCAAATTTCTACCATCCTTTCAAGAAACTTGTAAAATTTACAATCATTTTATTCCTTCAATTACATTTACTCATCTTATGTAAAAGGTTTTCTTGAAAACTTGTTTTTTTTACTACAACAAAAACCATTAACCTTCTATTCAAGCAGGCTATTATGACAAATTTACATTGAATAACCAAGTGTTCTTTTCTTTTTAATTTTTTATTTTCATTAAGATGTGCAATGGATTTTTTTGTTCAGATAAAAATATCAACTTACAAAACGCTCTGGTAGAGCTCATACAATCTCAAACAAGATAACCATCCTCAGAACTTTCATTTTTTTCTCAACTTCTTCCACTTTCAAGTCTCAAGTCCGATTTTTCTTTCTTTCAAGCTTGTACAATATGATGTTAATAAATCTTGCCTCTGTAGCCGCTAAGCGTGAACCTAGATCCATACCTAGTATCTACATAGAGCCAAGAGCCAAGAGTCCCATTCCAAAGATTTCTTTTTTCTTTTAACTATTCAGTCATCAAAGATAATCAAAACATTCCAGCTACAAAAATATCTACATAAATCTACACGAGCCATCAAACCCACTCGAAAAAAAAAGGAAAACAGATAAGTTACATACATACTCGGCCTATTAATTCATATTAATTCAAAATCATACAATCCTCCTAGTTTATTAATTGGTTGGAAAAGATATTGATTTGTGAAATCTGTTTACATATATTCAATACTTGAATCTACTTGAATGCTCCAATTACTGAGTCAAGAGTATCATTTCTGAGAAACCAAATCATCGGCAATTTCCAGCTTGCAGAAGTCTGGGCTTAGGACCCCAGAGAGTTATCATTGAGACACAAGATGTAAAAGTTTTTTCAACACTACATACCCTTAATTTGAGTTTACATTCCTTCTTTGCCAAGGTCTAGCGAGGAGCAAAGGGCTGGGTCGAGGTAGAGATCCATAGCCTTGCAGGTGTAAAGATGTTCAAATTAAAGGCTATCAGTTTCACAGCAATTCACAGCAAACATAAGGAAACAAAAACTTTTATATTGTGTGCCTTGATAGGAGCTTTCCGTGGTGCATCTGGTCTCTCTAGAATGGTATACTGTGACTATGTCATTGGTGTAAGTCACGTTTTCACTAGATGTGAAGGCCAGGGGTGGCGAGGATACCAGGATGCTTCAAAAAAATTACTAAAGCCAAAGAAAAACATAACAAGTTTCTAAAAAAAGATCAAGTGTACAAAGAGAAAAAGAATCTATGCTTGACTAATTAGGTGTCCACTTTGATACTTACCAAAGCAAACAAGACCAAACACTTAGGTCCAAAGCTTGTGGACTTAAATAATATCTTTTGTTTCTTGATAAGGTGTTCAATGATCATCACCCTTTGATGGTACAGATTGTTTCCCTTTCAACTTCTTTTTCCTTCCTTTAAATATGTGTAAGGGGTTACACATAATATAGGCATGATGGATCATGAGATACAAATTTCAGACCCACTCTTTATCCAACAGCTTAATAGAAGCTACCAATTCATTTTGGAATCACTTAATATTCTGTACTCAAAGTAACCTCAAAAGTGTCTCTTATCTCATGAAGTACTGGACCAAAACTCAAAGAAACCAAAGTTTTGTCTTTTAAGTAGCTGACCTGTTTTGCTTGAAATAACACTCAAGATCACTTTTCATGACAGCGCCTTGCACATTCATGTACAGTCGACTCCCTCGAAACCCATACAGATGTATTGGCTGTAAGCTTAAAAATTCTTGCAAACCAGGATCATGAAGATTAGTGGTACACAAATATCAAAACCGTATGGGAAACCGCATGAAAACCCGCATGGTTTTTTTGGTTTTTGCGGGCAAACCCAAAAAAACCATGTGGTTTCATGCGGATTTTTCATGCGGGTTTTTCATACAGTTTTCATATTTGTGTACCGCTATTACCACCAATCCAATTGTTGAACATCCCTCTTGATCTTTACACAATTCAAATGAAAGTCTTTTGTACATACAGAACTGATGTGGTTCTTAAGTTTCAAATTTTGTAAAACAAATCCCCAAAAATTTCTTGATTGAATTAATACTTGATGGTTTGGTCTTCAATAGGCATTGGGCGAAATTTTCGCTCTTTTTTCTATTTTTTTGACCGACCAGCGATGCGCCCCACGAAGCAATCCGAAGATTGCAGAAGCGAGTGAGTTTCACAGGTAAAAAGCCCTGTCGCTTTGCCCGGCTATCTTTTAGGGTCAGATGTTCATTTGCCTCGGTCCGATGACCGCTTGACTCTTGTCTTCGAGGTTTTTGCTCGTCAACTCCAGCAGTTTGTGACCAATCCAGAGGATCAAGATTTGAATCTTTTGATTTCAATTTCAGCTTGAAATTGGACAAGTCTGTCTAGTTTTGAGTCAATAAAATGTTCCAATTTTGACTGCCACGTAGAAGAAAAAGTCATCGGATGATAGA